TGATGGAAAACAACCATGCTTGTAAAATGGTAGGGCTTGGTGATATAAAAATCAAGATGCATGATGGAGTAGTTAGAACCCTAACGGAAGTGAGGCATGTTCCCAACTTGTGGAAGAATCTGATCTTAGTTGGTGCTTTGGACTCTGGTGGTTGTAAGATTATAATAGAGAATGGAGTAATAAAGGTTGTTCGAGGTTCCTTAGTAGTGATGAAGGGCATTCGTCACAGAAATCTATATACTCTTTCGAGTATGATAGTAACAGGAGATGCAGCAGTTAGAACTAAAGGAAGTAGTGGAGACCCATATGAGTACACTCGGTTATGGCATAGGCGGCTTGGGCACATGTTAGAGAAGGGTTTAGATCTGCTTGGTAAAGAGGGTTAGCCAAAGAATCTGAAGAAACCTTGTATGGATTTTTGCGAGGATTGTGTGTACGGGAAGGCGCACAGGGTCCAGTTCTTGAAAGCAATCACAAGAGCAGATGTATATTAGACTATGTGCACACAGATGTGTGGGGTCCGACTCAGACAACTTCCAAGGATGGTTCCAGGTATTTTGTCTCGTTCATATATGATCATTCGAGGTATACTTGGATTTATTTTCTTAAGCATAAGAATGAGGTATTCGAGATATTCAAAAAGTGAAAAGTAATGGTTGAGAACATAACAGGCAAGAAATTAAAGACACTGAGATCTGATAACGGTACAGAGTATACAGATGGTTCTTTCAAGGAGTTCTGTGATCAGGAGGATATTGCTCGATACTGGACAATCAGGTCAACACCGCAGCAGAATAGGGTCGCGGAGAGACTGAACAGTACATTGTGAGAGAAAGCAGTGAGTATGTGATCATATGTTGGTTTGGATAAAGAATGATGGGCAGAGTCAATTTCTACAGTTTTCTAAATAGTGAATTGGTCTCCACATTCTACACTGGATGGTGATACACCCTTTAGGGTGTGTTCAGGGGAGCATGTAAATTATGAGAGGCTCCGGATCTTCAGGTGTACCGCCTATTATCACGTTAATAAGGGAAAGCTTGATGCGAGGGCTAAGAAGGCTATATTCTTGAGGTATGAAAAAAGTGTAAAAGGCTATCATCTTTGATGTACAGAAGATTTGAAGTTCATGACCAGCAGGGATGTTACTTTTGATGAGAGATCCATGATTGCTAGGGTGCCCAAGGATGATAGTGTTGGGATTGTTAGGACTTCAAAATCCCAGGTTATTGAGATCGAACCTAAAGACCAACCAAGTTCTAGTCATGTTTAAGAGGAGGATCATGAAGATGATGAGCTTGAATAGGAGGAGGTTCAGTAAGAAAATGTATAGGTATTATAACAACAGTAGCTCGAAGATAGTTTGGCTTCCACTAGGCCAAGGTGAGCATACAAATAGGTTCAGAAGCTGGGGTTAGATCATCCTCTGAAGCACTATGGGCAAATAAATTTGGTTGAGTACACACTCTCGATGGAGGATGATAAGCCGATCACCTTCAAAGAAGCTATTCAGGACAAGGATAGTGAGAGTTGGTTGGCTGTGATGGAGGAAGAGATGAAATCTCTCCGGAAGAACCAAACATAGAGGTGGTCCTATTGCCCGTAGGGAAGAAAGCTATAGGTTGTAAGTGGGTGTACAAGAGAAAGGAGGATCCTTCCGAGCTCGGTGGTACAAGATACAAGACTAGGCTAGTAGCTAAGGGGTTTACAAAAAGAGAGGGTGTGGATTATAATGAGATCTTTTTCCCGATGGTGAAACGCACTTCTATTCGGGTACTATTGAGTATTGTTTCTCATGGTGATCTTGAGCTGGAACAACTTGATATCAAAACAGCCTTCTTGCATGGAGACTTGGATGAGAAAATCTATATGCATCAGCCTGAGGGTTACAAGGTTGAGGATAAGAAGCATCAGATATGTCGCTTGAGAAAATCACTTTATGGATTGAAACAATCTCCTCGGTAGCGGTACAAGCGATTTGACTCCTTCATGCTAAAGCATGGGTTCTCCAGAAGCAACTAGGATTATTGTGTCTATATTCGGAAGCTTCGTGGAGGTGATTATATCTATCTTCTTTTGTATGTGGATGACATGCTTATTGCTTTGAGAAGCAAGGTGGAGATAGATAAGTTAAAATCTCAACTTGGTAAAGAGTTCGAGATAAAGGACATGGACGCTGCTAAGAAAATACTAGGTATGGAGATTAGAAGAGACCGGGCAAATTGGCGATTATTCTTGAGTCAGAAGGGCTACAATGAATAGGTTATCGCAAGGTTTAGGATGTAAAGTGCTAAGTCAGTAATGACCTCATTGGCTCCACATTTTAAGCTCTCAGGTAAATAATCTCCCACTACAGCGAAAGAGAAGACACACATGGAGCGTGTACCTTATGCTAGTGAAGTAGGCAGTTTGATGTATGCAAAAGTGTGTACACGTCTAGATATTTCACAGGCGGTCAGTGTTATCAGTAGGTTCATGGAGAATCTGGGAAAGGCGTATTAGGAAGCAGTGTAATGGGTCCTAAGGTACTTGAAGGGTACTGCTGACACGGGTCTGTGTTTTGATGGAAGCCGTGTAATAGGTTCATGTTAGATTGATGGATTTGTGGACTCAGATTATGCGGGCGATCTAGACAGACGGCGATCTACTACTGGTTATGTATTCAGAATACATTGTTCTCCAGTTAGTTGGTGATCGATGTTACAGGCTACAGTGGTACTTTCTACTACAGAGGCTGAATACATGGCTTTGACAGAAGGAGTGAAGGAAGCATTGTGGTTGTGGGGTCTTCTAGATGATTTAGGGATTGAGCGAGATTGGGTGAATTTGTGGTGCGATAGTCAGAGTGTAATCATTTGGTTAAGAATCAAGTTCATCATGCTCGTACTAAGCATATTGACGTCAGGTATCATTTTATGCGAGATGTCATAGAGGAAGGTGATATTTCTCTCATGAAGGTACACACGAATGAGAACCCAGCAGACATGTTAACCAAGATGGTGGCAGGCAGTAAGTTTCAGCATTGCTTGGACTTGCTTCATATCAGCTCATGTTTATCTGCCCAAAAGGGCAATGTCAGAACTACGGTTTGCTTGATCATGGTGGAGAGTACGTAGGCAGTCGCGGTATAGTGGCGTAGCTGGTTTGGCCTGGTTTGGCCTCGTTAGCATTCGTGGTGTTCTTCTGGTGATCTTCCAAAATTTGAGATTTATCAAATGATGGACGAGGTGGAAAATTGAAGAAGAACAGACCTGCTGAAGATCGGAGCTCGACGACGATGATTACAGGTGGAGACGGAGCTCGGAGATCGGAACTCGACGGCGACGGCGGAGCTCTCGATGGCTTCGGCGAGGAGGTGCGACAGTGACAACGGAGCTCTCGATAGCTTCTGCGAGAAGCTCTCCTGCGGACGAGATGCGGGCGAGGAAGGCGAGGAAGCTCGCCTGCCAGCTAGCGAGATGCAGACTTCGAGCTCGCCTGTCGAAGAAGTAGCTCGCCTGAAGTCGTGCGTGGAAGCTCGCCTACACGAGAGCGGATGATGAGCTTGCGTGAAAGGGGAGGATTTCGCCTGGCGTGGTTGGAAACAGCTGGGATCCAGCTGGAGCTCCCTAGGGTTTCCCTATAAAAGGGAAACCCAGTTCACGAAGCTGAATTGAGCGCTCTCTTGCGATTTAAGAGAGAAGTTTTCTTCTCTGTGGCGGCTGCAGCTTCTCAAAGGTTTTTTTGAGAAGGGCTTTTTTATGGAGGGAATTTTTCGGTCAAGAAAAAAATGCACAAGCTCTGTAGCAGTGATTTTAGATTGAAAATCACTCGCGGTATTTTGAGAGATCTAGTTTGAGATCTTCTCTTAGCAAGTTTTAATTTCTTGTGGTTAAATAAGAAATTATTTGTGCGGCTCCCGTGGACGTAGGCAAGTTTGCTGAACCACGTAAATATGTTGTCTCGTCTACTTTACCTACTGTTTTATCTTTGTATTCGTTATTGCTTGTGATTGGTTAGTTTGAGTTTGGCTTAAACTCGAGCTAGGGTTGTTTTCTCTCGGGTTAATCTAGCTTCCGCGGCAGTGTGAGCGTCTCTTGCCCCCAACAACAATTGATCCTAGCTAGCTACTAGAGAATCATTGTTGGGAAACTTCCACACGCATGTAGAAAGAAGAAAAATATTGGTTCCTGCAACAAGAATTTGCAAGCTTTTTCGAAAAGCAAAACCTAGCATATATACTATATATATAAACTGATTTGATCGCGATGATTCGAGTACAGTACGTCCGAAAGTTTCCTAATAAAATCAAGATACTGCCCAAGTCGCTCTGTACTTGGTAGTTCAACTGCTTTGATTCTTCTTGTTCATCATCACATGGCTACCCTCGGTTGGTAGATATTCGTTAGTTGACATTGTTCATTCAAATAACGTTAAGAGAGACCATAAATCCCGGGACCATGCAAATGCCAAGCCCCACTCAAAATCATGTCGGCATTCTTTAATTCCTTGTCACTGAGAAGTCCTCCTTTAGTTATCCTTGCATTCCCAGTCCGCTATTATTATTCAAAAGGGAAAGATTTCTAGAATTCTTAGCCTCTTTGCCGTTTGTGGGCTACGATAGCCACGTGATTTTGTAGAAAGTTGGGATGTTGATTTGTTTTGAAGCTAAAAATGGGGAAATTTGCAAACGCAAATGTTGTATAATAATTGATAGATACCTACACAGTGATGCACAACCCATCACACGTTGGACTTTTGTACTGCTAATTAATATCGCTAATCAGAATATCCACATCTATAATTCTGTATCTGAAGTGAATACCCTCAGTTAAAAATAGAAAGTCATACAAAGATAATGCAGAATGGGACACGTGTCTCACAGCCTATTTCCAGTTATTACAAAAATATATGTAACCAACATAAATAATAACAATCAGAATAAACAATTAAAATATCAGTATAAATATAATCCTCGAACAATTAATGCAAATAACGTAAGGATTAGCTCTTGAAACTAATATAAGAAGATGCAAATACAGTAAAACATTTCATAATTTCTTCTGCTCCCGAGCCCATAACCTCAACCTTAGGTCATTCAATCTTTTCAATCTTATATTAACAACGCAATTTCAACTCAACTCAATCAACTCTATCAATCCTAACCGCAACAGGCCCACCACCATCCATCCTTTCACATTTTGGAAGCCAGTAGGTAGCCAATTGCTTTCAACCACCACTACCCGAACTTTATTCATATCCCGCTATTCTCTAGTACATCACTAAATTCAACAACATCTACATTACAAACCCCAAAAAAAAAAAGAAAAAAAAAGTGTAATAATCAACAAGTTAGTGGACCCCCTCTTCAACAGATTCAGCCCCACTGCTGATCATCACACCGATCGCACCCCTCCTGAGCAACGTCCGTTATCTGAACACCGGTATCGTATATCCTGCCAGCTGTCCAATCCGACGGCAGAACCTCCTTCTGGGCCCACACCCACTCGGTGACACCATCCTAAACTGCAGCGTCCGCTCGGAGCTGGCTCGTGTCCAGACGGACCGTGCGTCCCGAGCCATTATACGCCAGGTTCGAGAACGAGGCTGGCGACGTCGACAGTCGGATCGCGAGGTTCTTGTTCTTGTAGTTGCAGGGGACTCGTCTGTACTCGATCGCGACGAGTCCGGATTCCTTGAGGCTTTGGGCCGAGCCAGCTTTGGCCATTGCGGTGAAAGCTGGCGCGTTGAGCACGAAATCGGTGCGGTTGTTGGGTTTTTGGTCGGTTACAATTACGGTCACTCCTTTTGTGCTGCAGAGGCGCGGGTCTTTGCACCGTATCTGATCAAATTCCGCAATTAATTACGATCATTTTAAATTTCTGTGATTAAGAAAAATCGAGGTTAATTTCTAATTACTTGGTAGCAGCCACCGCAGCCAATCCCATCTCTGTAGATGGAGGAGCTGGCAGAAGCAACGAAGCCCTTGTTGAAGCCCAGAGCTAAGGAGCCGTACCCACAAGAGCCAGCTAATTAAACAAAATCATCAACAAGTTAATTCCAATTAAGAGAAAGTTAGAGAAAAAAACAAAAGAGGAAAAAAAAAATGAAGGGTATTAATAGAAGTTGATTGAGTTGGATTAGTGCCTGAAGCAGAGGAGGAAGCGGAGAAGTATGAAGCTGTGGATTGATGCAAGCACCTATCACAAGCGGTGACAGAGGAGAGAAGAAGAAGAAGAAGGAACGAGAAGAAGTAGGCGAAAAAGAGAGACATTTTTTTGGGAATATGAGTTGAGCAAAGAAGCTTTGAGCTGAAGAAAAGTTGTGACTTTTGAAGGGTTAAATAGATAGAAGGGTGGGTCCGGTGGCTAAAGTTTAAAGGGTCAATTTTCAATTTAGGATTATATTAGATGAGTAATACTCGAGAGATTGACGTGGGCCATACTGGGAAAGCACGCGTTTAAATTCATAAACTTTTAATATTGTAAAAACCCCCTTTTTTCCCCTTGCAATCTTGCATACTCTTAACCTATTTTATTATATTCCGTCTTTGGCATACACGAGAACCAAACACTAGTCTTTCATAATGTAGCGTCACGATTTTATCATATGACCTACTAGATTGCTCGCATACTCTTTAATCTTAGTTCGATAATCAAATAACACTTCTTAATTATAGATTATTTGGTAATGTCAGACAATTATACTTAAGTAATCATATCATTAAGAGATTGCAATACATCCTTCTTTTAGCAATATAAATTATAATTATTTAGTAAATATTAATAAAATTGAAAATTTTGCATTTCTTTCTTCTATTGGATCCATTGCTAAAGATCAATTGTCGTTTTTTTAATTAAATAAGACCTAGTAGTAACAGGACGCATTTAGTCTTCTCTCATCATCATTTGTATGCTATGGTGTTTATCATTGTCTTGACAGAGACAAAATGATCAAAGCCTCTTTAAAGTATTGGTGAATTTTTTATTTTCCCACTAAAATGGCAATGTACTTTATTTCCCCCCTTTACACAATGTATGTGTGCCTAATGTTGTCATATTTTTAGCCCATGGTCAAACATTAATAGTTCGATGTTGTGATTTTTTTTTTAATTTCTTGTAATTTTTTTTGAAATTTAAAAAACTATGTTTCAATTTCAAAAAAGGGCTAAGGGTAAAAAAGATCGGATGAAAGAACTTGAGAAGTTTTTTGGGTTGGGAGAAAAGGCTATAAACTAATAATAACCCTTGAAGAAATATAAAAAAATATTGTCACGTCGTTGATATGATAAATATGAGCCTCTAACCTCACAAAATGATCATATTGGGCGCATACACATAGTCTTTGGAAACAGGCAAATTGATAATTTAGAGGATGAGTTGATCATTTTGTACTTTTAACAATAAAAGTTTACTTTCTTGGTTACGTTATTTACTAATGTTTAATGTACTATTTTTTCTAATATAAATAGCATTTGCGTACTTTATAAATTTTATTTATTTTTTAAATCCTATCCAAGATAATTTGTATAATTTTAATGAAAATAATTTTATAGGAAGAAGATATTTTAATGCCTACCTTTCCACGACCAAGGTTGAAAAAAGTCCCTTAATTTGGAGAGAGTGGGATCCAGATTGGGAAAAAGACATGCATTTACACCTAATTGCGACGCGCTGCTGGGAAGCACAAAGAAAAAAAAATATATAAAAAGATAATAAAGAAATCTCACCGACTCCTCTAACGCGCCCAACGGACAGGACAAAAGACTCGATGCTAAGGCAGTGTGGACTTACGTGGAAGCTTAGAATGTCCTCTTGCTGCGCAAATTAATGGAGATATGGGAGCTCTGGGGGGCTGTCCTACATTCAAAACCGGGGGAGCCTTGAGCTGGCATCCAAAGGGATGGCCTACGAGGGTCAGGATGAGCTTAGGAATTGTTTTTTTTTTTTTTTTTGTAGGGCGGCTGCTTGGGTTTTGTGTTGTATTTTTTTTTTTTTTTTTTTGTAGGGCGGCTGCTTGGGTTTTGTGTTGTTTTGTGAAGGGGGGCGAGAAAGTGGATGGTATCGATGACTTGTTTGTGAGTGGAGGGAATGAATACTCTTCCACGGGAAGGGAAAAAAGATGATGCGCTCACATAGAAATCATATCCGTCAAAGTATCGCTATGATGCGATAATTACAATGACTACTAGATACGAAAAGATACCTGCAACAAATGATATGAGATAATTCAGTTGGCTTGTAATTGTTTCCTCTAATCCAATCTTGTTATATGATCATATATATTTTTCTTGGTATAATCAATTTACAACGGATTGGACGACTGCCTTATAGTTATAGGCTATAGCAGCCTCCCATCTTTAACAAATGAAGTTAGTAGTTTTCCCTAGGCACTTTTAAGAAGACAGGTATAAGTTTTTCTCAATGTGCTAAAAAGGGAAAAGGAAGCTTTATAATTTGTTTTTCTCTAATAAGGGTGTGATATTAAATCTATATAATTTTTTTCTCTAATAAGGGTGTGATATTAAATCTATTTATCGAAAAAATTTGAGATTGATTTCATTTCTGTTATGGGGTATATCTGTTCTACGAATAAATGATCTCATAAGTTGACATTTTGACTAGCCAGACAAGCCGACTGTGACGCCCCTGTTTTCACACATGGCTGCAGTCCAAGGTGAACGCAGAGATGTCAAACCTGCATGCACCCATACTGTGCAATAACATGTTTTACCAATCACAATAATATCCTTTAGTGGAAACAAATAAAAACGTAGGTACAAAACAGGACATGAAATGGAACAACGACAATAGACATGATAAAGAAAGAAAGATATCTCATATATTAAGGTCATGTCTCAGTTGTAAATAAACTGAAATATATCTGGAGTCTGAAATAACATAAGATGTCTCCATGAATCAAAATAGAAAATCGTACTGAGGCACACTGCCTTTACAATATGAGATAAACTCTAGGATCTGAATAAAATATAAAACTACGGTGGAGCCTCTAATAAATCTCATATGACGGCGACTATGCAAGAACTCTGTCATCCTGCGACTCTCCAGTACTCCGAATTACCTGAAAGAATATTAGAAGAAAAAGAGCAGCAACAAGAGCGTCAGAGCGTTATAACAAGATCACCTCCATCCGTCCCCAGGGGAAGGGCTGCTAGATGGAGTAGAGGCTCTATCTATTAAGCATAGTCTACCTAGATTATTTTTCTCCGTATCTAATGGAATTAATATTTAGACACCTACAATACGAGACATAGTACGTCGAGCGAAATAATCCAAACAATGAAACCCTCATGTATATACCATATGTCCCGAATTGTGAATCGCTAATTATTGATCCCAACTAAGAAAATAAAGAAAAAGTAGTAAAAAAAGTAAAAACATCAACATATCATATTCATAATATCTTCCACTGTCACTGGGAAGATAGAATAAATACCAGCACAAATCCCGTGTACTTTCAAATGTAAAGTACTCTGGGTCATATATTTGTAGTTAGTCAAAAACATAACTGGCATCCGCTAACGACTCGGGATATCATTTAACTATATCAATGCAATTCCATGAAATTTTTTGATTCATTGCATCATCATACGGAACAGACTACTCGATCGGTATCCCAACAGTGTACACGAATCATTAGTCTCATCGCATCTATGTACGTAACACGAGTGCGGTACGGACTACCAAGTAGGCATCCTAGAAATACGGTTCACAAGCCTCATCGCACCCTAGTACGGGACAAACTACTAGATAAAGCATCCTAAACCTGACTTAATGACCTGTACTAATGGAATATCGACGCACTACCCCCTAGTACTAAACTAAGCTCGTCAACGATATCCAGAAGGTGTGTGTATAATATGTACTAAACTCTTTCTCAAAGTAATCGGGTCAAAACCCATCATAATTTCTTTCAGCATACCCATGTGTGTGCTACTACACTATTCGTGAATTTACGTATAAAGAAGTGCGGATCGAAACCCGCAAACATATCTCAAACAGATGCAAAACAAAAATTCAGGCAACAACCTTAGTAGTCGACTACACTAAGTCCATCCAGACTCTATAATAACATATATCAGTATCAGTAGTCAACTATTAAGAATATTAGTCGACTACTTTGCAAACACACAATTTCTGTTATACTCAACTGGGCACGAGTAGCCGACTACTAAGCTTAGTAGTCGACTACTCTGTCAAGACACGTATTCTTTCGTGCACAAACAATGCTTATTGAAAGGCCCTAGATGGGGTGAATAGGGTTATGAGGCAATAAATATGTAATTAAAAGTAAGACAAAGCAATTCACCATAAAATAAAATGCGAAAACAAAATAAGAGAGATGAGTTAGGAAATAGTTAGCCAATTGTGACACGCCATATGTTCACGAGGTTCGGTCCTTCGACCTACGTCCCCTCTCCCCACTCTCGAGGAGAATTTCACTATCACAATCCGGTTTGGAAGCCGAAACTTCTACACAATGATCTCCTCTTGAGATCTCACAACCACAAAGTAGATCTCCACAAGATATTGCTCTCCACACGTTACAAAGAACAGAAAGAACCTCTCTTACAGCAGTCCTATGACAAGGAGAAGAGATTTCAATTGAAGCTTGGGATGTGGGATTTGCAAGTGTGAAAACAGATTTGAGAAATTAAAAAATTTAAGCTCTTTTTAACTCAAGAACACAAGCTCAATTAATTTTCTCTTGCAAAGTTAGTTCAGAATTAAATAGGGTAGTTGGTTATATATAGGTAATCCTTGGAATAAGCCAAAAAACCTGGAAAAAGACAAAAAGGATCAAATTTTGAAAATCTAAAATCTAACAGATACTAGTCGTTACAGTAGCGGCGACCTAGAGGCTATTGGCGGTTGACGGCAGAGGAACTAGCCGTTATTAGCCAAAATCTCCGGACTTTTCAGCGGTGCGACCGCGAACGCCAGACTTCTCAAACACTCTTGACTTTTCACGGTCGCTCGCAGAAACAAGTCCGGTCGACCAAAAACTCTTTCTTAGAATGGTTTTCTGTTTTGGAAAATAGGTTCACATAGCTTTCATTTGACATTGGTTTTGTTTAGTTTGGAGTTTATATGAAATTTTAAATTTCTAGTTAAATGTTATACACATGCAGCAATTTTCTTCAATCTATAATGAAAATAAAAACTAAACCTCTTTATAATTCAATTAGATAACAAATTAGGATTAACACACGAGTTAAACATAATTATCAAGTTTAAAAAAATGAAAAAATTTAATCACCCCTAATGATCATGATCACGTTACTATCATAAACAATTAGGAAAAGCTAATGATCTAGCATTGGGTTA